GGTTTCTGCCGAGGCACATCAGCAGATTTCAGGGGGCGCATTGCCTTGAGGCGCCTCCCGGGGTGTGGGGATCATCACCGCACTTCCTTTACAAGCAAACTGCATTTCCCAAACGTGGAGTCGGGCCTCCAGGGGGTATTTAGTGTTGGGAGCAGCTGTCATGGAAATGGGCTGAAGCAGCATAAGCCCGCGGGGGAGGGCGCGGTTCTGAGGGGTCCCCACTGCCCGGTGCCAGAGGCAAGGGTCCCTTGTAGGCTACTGAGGAAAGCCCTGATCCGAAACATGGGAAGGGATAAAATGCTGCTCCCTGTCAGCGCCCCACTGCTCTCGGTGGGCTTCCCCCTCCAAGAGGGGCCTGCCCGCAGGAGCTTGGTTGCAGGGTGAACATCTATCCCCGCTCATTTTGTAGGACTGGACTGGGAAGCCCTGGGCTGCTGGAAGGAGGAGGTGTCAGGAAAGCAAAGGCTGTTTATTCTCTCCCCCCCCAACACCTAAGAACATACGAAAAATAGCCCAACAAGCAAGTTCACTTGGTTTCTAAATGTCATATTTTTAACCAGCTGCAGAGTGAATAACAGCCCCTCTCCAGACAGCAAACCAGGCAAATAGCTGCCACTCGTTTCCTAATAGAAAATGTAAATGATGAGGTAGCTCCCATGTTTGTATTTTTATATATATTTAACCTTAAAGTCTGCAAATACCAGCAAGTACTGTAGGATCGGGTGGAGGAATTATTTGCAATATATTTAAACACATTGACAAGAGACAGCATGTTGAGATATTTTGGTTTACAAAGACCTCCTGTCTTGCACAGTTTTAGCAGCTCCCAGTTTGATATCCTCTCTTTGAGGCTGCATTAAGGACTGAACCATTACCCAAGTGGGACCACACTTCTAGGATTAAAATGTAGCTTTTCTTAATCCCTTCTAGTCCCCTACAAACTGCAAAACTCCACCAAAGTTGTTTCCAAAACCACCGTTCTTGAAGAAACTTATTTTTTTAACATCTCTTCCCCACCCCCCACCCCTTTTTTTTTCTAGGTCAGGGCACTTGAATCATTTTATGTTTGAGAAAACATTTTTCGGAGCTGATTGCCCATGGAACTGCATCTGTGAAGGTGCTGAGCACAGATCTCTGAGAACTGACACTGTCACCTGGAGGTTCCCTGCTTGAGGAGATCCTTATGGCGATTAGCCTGGAGCTAGCAGTCTCCAGGAGTGAAGGAAGGAGGCAGCAGCAGAGTTACTGGCTGGATTTTCATTTTCAAACTCGAAGCAAAGTTTGAAAGCAAGAGGGCTAAGAGGAGTCTTTTTCAAATGGCACGTCCACAAGCAGCATGGAAGCATTCAGGGTTTGCTGTATGGGTACCCAAAGTGAAGTGGATTTTGTTTAAGGCACAAGAGTGATTTTTGGAGTCCCAGCCAGAAGGGTCTGACACTTAGAACAAAAGTAGCTTCCAGTCCAAGTTGTAGAAAACAAGCTTTACTGAAGAAACATAAACTCTGGTTGGCAGGGTCAAAAATCTCTCTGTAGTTGAATATAATTCCTCAGCCTTTGTGCAAGGTTCTCCACAACTCTTAATCAGTTAGGAAAAGTACTTTGGCATGTTGTAGAGGAGTAGACATGATCTTTATTTTCACATGTGGGTCAGTGTTATGTGAGAGTGCTACTGGGTCTACAAAGGTAGTCAAGTTTCATTTACTATCTTTAGGTCATTTGCTTTTTTAAAAATTGTAGAACAAAATAAAATGTGTCAGAGAAATCTCATACAAAAAACTAGAACTCTTGGTTCCAAAATGATACCTTTTATTAGACCAACTAGAAAATGGCAAGAAAATTGTCCTTTTCTGCAAGCTTTCGGGAATCAAAGTCCCTTCGTCAGGCTCTGGGAAAAGTGTAGATGGTACAAGATGGTAAAAAGTCCCCATAGGTCAGAAATAAACTTCATTTTTGCACAGAGGGAGCTGAAGATGGAAGTCTGTCCCTCAGAGAAATCTCAACATATGCAGAATGAGCAGAAGAAAGTTACTTTATTATGATGTGGTCTCCTTGCCTTTACACACCACAAAAGGCCCTCTAGCTGAGATCATCAGAGTAGTTGTGCATGTGTGTGCACATGGGGTAATACTCACCAGGAGTCTCACCATCAGCAGGGAGGAGGTTTTGCAGAGTGTTCTGCAGCACTATTTGCAGCAAAACCAGAGTTGAAGGGATAGACCACAAGCCAGGTATTCCCCCAGCCATATGGAAGCAAGTGATGACATCTGTCTGGAAGTTGGCAGTCCCCAACGGCAATGCCTCCTAAGTAAACCAGATCAGTATAGGCAAACCTCCCGTGGGTGTTGCCATGCAGGAGGTGTATTCTACCAGAAAGCTACTGTCCCTATGTGTTAATGACCCCTAGGAAGCTATCAACAGCTTTACACATATGGGAACATGCTGGAATGTTCAGACGCTGCCCCCTAGGTTTGATTCAGACTCTGATTTATGGAAAACAGCATTACTAAACTATGAATTGGTTAGACTCAGAATTGACATTGCTGCATTATCAGCAACTTGGCTTTCAGATACAGGTTCTCTCCAAGAAAATAATTACATTATATTCTAGCATGGGAAGGTATCAGGAGAAAGGAGAGCGCAGGAAATAGGCTTTGCTATTAAAAACTTACTGTCTTTCTGTGAAAGCCCCATTGCTGTATCTCTTAGACTTATGACACTCAGAGTGCATACACAGAACAGCTTCATAACATTGTTTAGTGTCTATACACCTACATTTTCTACCAACAACTTGAAGAAGACATTGAGAAAACTCACAAAAATTAGACCATAATAATACTTGGCAACTTCAGGGCAAGAGTTGGATGTAGTTTTAAGAAATGGCCTCATATTCTGGGTAAACACAGAATTGGTAATATGAATAAAAATGGCCAGTAAGTGTTAGAACTTCATGCAAGTCAAAAATCTGTGCAATCAAACTAACCCTGACTTTGCTGTAAAAATCACAAGAAAAACATCATGGAAACATCCAAGATCAGGGCACTGGCACCAATTAGGTCTAGTACTGCCCAGGCATAACAACCTGAAAGAAATCCTGAATTATGAGGTTGTCACAGTGCTGACTGTAACCATGCTTTAGTCTGCTGGAAAGTCAGAATCAATGTGAAAAGATTCACCATAGCAAAACTACCAGTTGTCCTCAGATAGACATCAGCCAAACTAAAGGCATAGAAAAATGTTGATTATTTCATGAAGAAATTGCAATAGCAAGTTTACCTAAGCTCAGTCGCCAAGGCTTGAGAAAGTTTAAAAACCAACATGTACAATGCTGCTGTAACCACATTTGGCAAAAAAATTCAAGAAAAATGCAGACTGGTTTGACAAGCACTCTGAAACCCTTCTACCACTGGTTAAGAACAAAAAAAGGACAGCACTAACCAACTATAAGAAATGTCTCAGCATCATAACTCTGGAAAATTTGAGAAAGACTCAAAGAGAAATCCAAAAGAAAACTAAGAGGCGTGTCCAAGATTTTTGGCTGAAACTCTATGATAGTTCTCAGAAAGCAGCTGACGTAGGTGATAACTGTGGAATGTACAAAGGCATCAAATGAGCAATTGGTCTAGTCATCTCTGTTGAAAGACTTAGAAGGAAATGTCATTACTGATAAAAACAACTCAAGCATTGCACCAAACAGTATGGATTTCTGTACAACAGTGAGACAAATCAAACACAAAGAGCTTGAAGGATTACTACAGTTCGAAGTTGTGATGGATTTAGACAATGAGCCTACATTAGAAGATGTGCAGAAAGCCATTTAATCAGTTCCTGGGAACAAGGCATCCTGCAATGACTGTTTACCTGCTGAAATCTACAAATGTGCCAAAAACAAATTACTTTGAAATCTTGCTGTACGCCTTCCTCTTTCCAACAGAGCAGTATAACAGGCTGCTCCAGTGGGAGTGGGTGGGGCTCGGCCCCATATGAAGCAGCATGGGCCAGATCCAGTCAGTTGGCAGGCCAGATCTAGCCCACAAACTATATTTTGCCTACCCCTGCCATAGGGGAACTTTTCCACCTCAGTCTAGCAAATCCAAAAAACACATGGACAAAGAAATCTCTTGTAGTAATTTCTAAGTTCAGCTCTTCCCTTGTGATATACAGAACAAAAAGAACCTTGTAAATTAACTAAAATCTAGAAATGGACCACAGCTGCTTGGTGGTAGAATAAGTAAAAGAGCATTATTCAGAAACTGTAAAGGCCTCTTAAAAATCTCTGTTGGTAAACATTCATATTGTAAGAGTTCAGTGCAAACCCAAGCAAATTGGACTGCAACAAGATATAGAAATATTTGCCTAAATGCTCTGTATCCAGGGCTCTCAGTAGAACTCAGACAAAAATCTTGGGGGACTATTAATTATTTTGACAAAACTACTATTCCTGCAAGATGATCAGGAATTGTCCCCTTATGGGCAAAGAAGTGTCACAGTTTGGTAGAAGAAGTTGTAAACAATTAGTAGCATTCACACAGAGCTGGGAGGAATCAGCATTTCTTAGCTGGCAAACAATCTTTTTTCTACGTATTTGTAACAAAAATGACCCCGGGAAGACTGCAGTTACTACTCTTTGTGAAATCACATGACAAACTCTCATTGGAGAGACTTTTTCTTTCCAGGGAGAAGAATGAGAGATGACAAGTGGATGGTGTGTACATGGTAATCAGGTAACAGATTAAATAAATGTTTGCCAAACGGAAACTGTGCTAACTATATAAACCAGGGATTCTCAACCTTTTTAGGCTCAAGAAATCCCTCAGAAAATGCCAGCTCTTAGGTTTTTCGGGGGGGGGAGGCGGGGTTGGTTATGGAAAAACAATAGAGC